TATATATATATATATATATATATAAGGCTTGGTCGGGAAGTGGGAGCAATCACTCTCGATTGCTGACCACGCAAATAATATTTAGTTGCGAAAAGCTGGCGAGATTTTTTAGACATTTTGAGAACATTTTAAAAAGCAAAAAAAAAAACGCGAAAGATTATTTGGACCGATGAGAGACAATTACAAAAAAAAAAAAAAAATTAGGCAAATAAAATATCTTTAAATGCGAAAAAACTTAAAGCTACGTTTAGAACAAATATTTTTAAAACATCGCTCTTTTATAATTTTTTTTTATAAAATTAAGCAATGTTTTTTATATAAAGTAACAACTTGCGATCGTTAAAAAAGGAAACAAATATTTTTTATTTAACAAAGTTTGCAAGTTTTAGTTTTATTTAAGCTAAATCATTTTATAAATAAAACAGTTAGTTTTTTTAATACCTATTTTATGTTTCGTGTAGTTTGAAAAGTTTAACATATTTGAAGCAATTCTTCTTAGTAAGATAAGCAAATGAAATAATTAAATCATTGAATCACTATAGAAATTAAATTAACAAGATAGAAATCAACTAAAAAGGTTAAAAATACTTTATGAAAAGAAAGTGAAAATGCTTCACAATATTGCTGATTATTTTTAGTGAGTGGGCTTTTTAATTTTAATTAGTATTTAAAGCAGAAAAAAGTATAACGAGTCTTAAGAATGGCAACTTAAGCGAAAATAGTTAGAGTTAGTAAACCAATATCTAGAAACTTTTCTTTACATCTAATTATTTGCTATATAATTTGTATGTGTTATTTGTGTTTAGTAACCAGAAACTTCTTATTTGTTTGTTACATAATTAGTTTTATTAAGTTTAACGATTATAATTTCATTGTAAACATTTTTAAATCATAAAAATTGCTTTAAAAGATACATTACGATAAAAACAGATACACAAAATTACATTTACATAAAGAATACATACTTTTTAAATAAAAAATAAGAATATACTAATAAAATCTATAATTTATAATAAACTTTTAAAATTTTGACAATTTCATTAATATATATTTAAAACATTTATTTTTGTAAACAAATAATATATATTCTTAAAACAATTTATGCTAGAAATCTCAAAACGTAACAAATCGTGAATAATACAATTACTAAAACATTTCAACAGAATACTCTAGAACTTTGTTTTGCTTAGCCAGCGTATTTTTTGAACCAATAAAATTAGTTTGTTTGTTAATTTAAGGGGTAAACAGATTCTATCTGTTGACCAGCCTCGCACCCCTTCTTCATCTATTAGGCTGGCGCAGATGTATTTTTAATACATTGTTTCCAGTTTAGGATGTTGAATGCTGGATCTTCTTAATTCGATGCATGGGTTTTGCTTGTGTCTCTGTTTTTATGACTAGGCAACTCATTCTAATATCTCCAAATGAGGGTACAGCTTTAAAACTCAGTTTTATGGCTCTGAGGCCGGCTGGTAGTCAGGTTTCCTGAACTCTGTGGTAGCTCTCAGAGAGGCTGATTCCATCAACAGCTGAAAAATATCAGAGTACTAACAGTGCCATGGTGCGCATGGATGGTGTCCCTGTTTGTACTTTTTGCCCTTAGTTACGGCTTAGGGTTTATTAGTGGAAATGAGGCAATTGCTTGAGCTATAAAACAGTGTACTGAGTACTATCTATGTTTCGAGTCAAGTTCTTTAACAAATTTAAAAATGAATAAAGTAACAAAAACTATAAAACACAAAAAACCACAGTCATCACCAAGTTTGCTAAACCTATCATTCACCAATATTTGTGGTCTTCGAAGTAACTTTTTTTCTGTTGAGTCTTATCTCTTAAAAAGTTCACCAGACTTACTTACTCCAATAGGCACATGCTTGGCCTAGGCATTTACATTCGTAAGAATTCACCCATTTGTCGGGAAACTAGGTTTGAATCCACAGACTACTCTTTTATGTGCTTTCGTTTAGCACCACTTCACTCTATCACCTTTCTCTTTGTTCTATATCGCTCTCCCTCATCTCAAGACTGCACTCTTCTTGATGTTATTTCTGATTATATTGACCAAACCCTCATTCTTTATCCATCAGCCAATATTGTTATTGTCGGTGACTTTAATGTTCATCACATAAGCATTAAGGCCCACAACTTTTGTCTTTCTCAATCTCTAACTCAAATAGTCAACTCGCTTTCCAGACAACCCGAATTGTTTACCTTCTCTACTTGACTTATGTCTTGTTTCTGATCCTAGTCAGTGCTCAGTTTCTTCACACCTACCCTTAGGTGCTTCTGATCATGGTTTGGTCTCTCTAAAACTATTATCTCATTCTTCTTTACCATCAGAATCCCCCTATAATCGTACATCTTACAACTACCTTAAAGCTGACAGGGACTCTTTCCGTGATTTTCTTCGTGATGGCCATTGGGTAGAAATCTTTCATCTCCCTGTTGACAAATTTGTTTCTTACATAACTGTGGATTCAGGCTGGCATGGAATCTTTTA